AAGTATTACAAAGGGTATTACATATGTGTCCTTCCCCCGCCCTTGACAATCCCCTGCCCTCCCTTACCCCCCAGTGTCTTATGTCCATTAGTTATGCTTATATGCATGCATACAAGTCCTTCGGTTGATCTCTTACTCCCCTCCCTTCTGCCCCCCAACCCTCTCTGGCCTTCCCGCTGCAGTTTGACAATCAGTTTGAGGCAGCTTTGCCTCTGTATCTATTATTGTTCAAAAGTTTGTAATGGTCTTTATTATCCATGAATGAGTGAGATCATGTGGTATTTTTCCTTCATTGACTGGCTTATTTCACTTAGCATAATGCTCTAAGACAGTCTTCTTGATCAGCCTCCAGGATGATAATGACCCAGTGGCCATCCCTCAGACTCACCATCCAGGACCTGGCCTTCATCTGTCCGACACACACAAGTATCTGGGCTGAGGACATCTTCGATTATCATCTGGGGAGAGGGTCAGGGGGCATGAGAATGTTAGAGAGTGAAGGGGGCCCAGTCCCTGGGGGAGGAAGGGGACCTAGGCTGCGGGTGCCCACCTTGGTGTTGTAATACTGGCCGCGCTTGTACAGTTTGTCCACAAAGCGCACACGCAGGTCCCTGTGCAACCAGTGCTGCCTCCTCGAGGCTGCTTTCTCACTCTTGGCTGGAGGCTCATCTTGTCTGTGGAGACAGGGCAGACACCAGGCTTAGTCAGTTGTGCGTTCCGGTTGCCCCACCTTGGCCGATGCTGTAAAACCCACCCATAGTACCGTTTCTAGTTCCTTCTATGTACCTGCCTTGCCCTGGAAGCCTTCTCTGACTGCTGGAGCCTCCCCACACCCCTACCTTCCTCCGTCATCCCAGATGCCCAGGGCCCCACCGGTCTGGAAGGTGTTTCCGCTTCTCTTCTGCTCCCTGCCGGGTGGGAAGTTCTGAACCCTTCCTCATCGAGGCTGTTCCGTTCTGTGGCCCTGAGGAAGTTCTGCTCACATGGCCTATTCAAGGGGGAGAATCAGGAAAGACCTTCAATGTCTCACTCTTTCCCCCCAGGCCACACCTTAGCCTCAGACCACCTCCCATCCGCCAAAGTGTCCCTTCTTCCAAGCATGCTTTTGCCAGGAAGCCTTTCTCAACCGCCACAACCTGTGCCGACAGTGCCTGCCTGAGCCGCCTGCCTGGTGTGGGCTAGGAGTCCTAAGGAGCTCTGCTAGCACCCATCTCCCATCTGCCAAACTGCCCCATTCTGCCGACATGCCTAAAGTGCCTTCCTCCCCCGTTATGCCGCAGTCCTAGCTGCTCTCACCCACTAGCAAAAGAGAGGTTCACCACCCTAAATAGACCTCCTGAGGGTAGAAAATGGTTTCCACACCCGTTTTTTCTAGTTCAGAAAGAGGCTATAGACTCAGGGTTACTAGATCAACCTTTCTTCAGTCCAACTGAATAAACCACTATCT